TCTGGATCCACTTTAAATTCCTGTGGACTTTTGATTGACCTTGGATAGCTGTGATGAGTCACTGAACTAAATACTGAATTGGATTGTGAATTGTGGAGCTATTGAAGAATGAATTGAACTTTTGTGACAAGGGAATAGACCGAACTTCTGTGATAAAGTTAGTCGACATTTGAAATAAATATGTTGGTGACCTACCTTAAAGAGGGCAATTGGTGAATGTGTGTCTAAATATTTTCGGTGCCAACAGGTCGAAGTTGAATATCAGATAGTGGCAGAACTACTTCAACCTCTCTCTATTCTGGAATGGAAATGGGAATATGTGGCTACGAATTTCATTATGGGGCTACCTTGAGCGCCCAAGGTATAAGTCCCGTTTGGGTTATTGTATATAGGATTACTAAGTTTGCTCATTTCCTCCCTGTGAAATTTCCGTATAATGCTTATAGATTAGCCATTGGTTACATCGATAAAATTGCTTGTTTGCACGGAATCCTAGTATCTATTGTTTCAGACAGGAATCCTAAAATGTGTCTGACTTTTGACAAGCCTTCAAGAGGCAATGGGAACTGAATTGTGATTCAGCGCCGCTTTCTATCCACAAATTGATGCATGATCAGAAAGAACTTTTGAGATTTTGGGAGAAATGCTCTGAATACATGCTTTAGATCTTCGGGGAAGTCAGAAAAATCTGTTCATCGTTGGCAGACTCTGCTTACAACAACAACTTATGCTCTAGTTTCAGTGTGGCACTGTATAAAGCCTTGTGTGGCGGAAAAGGTAAGTCTCTGACTGGTTAAGAACGGGGTGCTGCTTGATTTAGAGACTAAGCAAATGACTATCAGAAGAATTGAGATCATTGAATGAAAGGTACTTCGAATTGCTTTCGACTAAAGGTAAAATAAGTTTGGAGGACCAAACTTCCTAAAGGGGGGAAGACTGTGATACCCCTGTTCCGTAATACGCTAATTGGTCCTTAACATGAATATGATTATGTGTTTAATATGATTTTGTGTACCATTATGTGGAAATATGTGGTTTTGAATTTCTATCTGTTTGCCGTAGGAATATCTGTTTGATTACCTGCTTTGGGAAATTAAATTGAAGGCCTTATTGGCCACAGAATCCGGAATTGATTACGCCATTGTGATTAGCGTAATTTTTAGAGCCTACGGTGAAATTTAATTGAAAATTGATTCGGACCAGATTAAGTTGATTAAATTGGTGAATTAGTGCCCAATTATCTCTTATTATTAAATTGTGGCTAGTGGGAATTTATGTAAAAGGCACTATACACTCAAGTCTCTTCTTTTATCTTCATTTTGAGCTGATCAACTCTCCTAAAGAGGGAAGGCCGGCTATTAGAGAGAGAGGGGGAGAAAATTTATGTCTTGGTCTTGAAGCTTGGAAGTCTTGAAGTGAGTTCAAGAATTAACCATAGATTGTGAAGATTAAAGCTCTTTGGTGAGTAATTCATCTATTTTTACTTATCATCTTGTGAATTCAAGTTTGAATGAGGGTCAAGAACATGGATTAGTTTGATTATGAGGAAATTGAGTTGAATTTGTTGTAATGAAGACCCATATGTGCATACAAGTGTGTAATTGCTTTGAATATTGCATGTTTGAGCTCAAAGGGTATGATCCATGTAAATTTGTAGTTGAAGCTCATGTTTTGATTACCTTTCCATCATCTAAGTTGAGAGTAAGGGTTATATAGCACATGCATGTACAATTCATGAGAATATGAGCTTGAACGCATGAATTTGTTATGTCAGAGTGAGTTTGATGGGAGATTGGGGCATGCATGTGATTTAATTGTGAAATTGAGCTTCATTGGGTTGTAATTTGGAGTGTGTACCATGTTAGTATAATTATATTTGAGATTTGAGCCATTGCATGCAAGAAATGTTGGCTTGGAGGACGAATTGGAGCTCAAGAACACAAGCTGGAAAACCCAGAATTTTGATGTCTGTTCGACTGGGGGACGTGCCGCTCGAGCGGTAAATACGTGCTCCCAGTACTTTTTGCAGACTTGGTGTCCGCTCGAGCGAGGAGCTTTGTAGACAGGCCTTCCACTCGAGCGCCCTATTTTACGCTCGAGCGTATTTTCCATGCAACCAGTACTCTTGCAGGCCTTAAGGGTCTGCTCGAGTGGAGAAGTTGACGCTCGAGCGGGGACCCTATTTTCTAAAATTCTGAAAATGCATTCTGAGTTCCGTTTTCCGTTCCCTTTCACTTCTAAGTACTCTTAAGCATGCATTGAGCATTGTAATTGAATTAAAGAGATAAGAATGAAGCCTAAAGAGGAATATGTGAATTAAAGAATGGATTGAACTATTTTTGACCCATATGTGTTATGTGATGTGTAGGGTCAAGCTCCAGGGCGAATCCACATGCCGATCACTGTAAGTAATATCTGAAATATGTTGTTGCCCAATTGTTTACTTCTATGTAAGTTTTGTAAAGTTCATTAATTTTGAATGGTGGACATTGTCTAATATGACAAGTTTGAAAGGCTTAAATGCCAGTTTGAAATGAAAGTTTGAAAGGCTTAAATGCCAGTCTGATATGACAAGTTTGAAAGGCTTAAATACCAGTTTGATACCAAAGTATATTTAGGCCAAAGGCCAGTTTGATACGAAAGTGTAAGTGAGCCAAAGGCTAGTTTGACACAAAAGTGTAATTGGGCAAAGGCTAGTTTGACACGAAAGTGTAAATGGGCCGAAGGCCAGTTTGACACGAAAGTGTAAGTGGGCCAAAGGCTAGTTTGACACGAAAGTGTAAATAGGGAAAATGCCAGTTTGACACGAAAGTGTAAATGGGCCGAAGGCCAGTTTGACACGAAACAGTAAATAGGCCAAAGGCCAATTTGACACGAAAGTGTAAATGGGCCAAAGGCCAGTTTGACACGAAAGTGTGAATGGGCCGACGGCCAGTTTGACAGGCCAGTTTGATACGAAAGCATGAATGGGCCAGAGGCCGGTTGACATGAAAGTTTGAATGGGCCAGAGGCCAGTCTGATATGAATGATAAGTCTAAAATGAATGACAGTCTGATATGAATGATAAGCCTAAAATGAATGACAGTCTGATTTGAATGATAGTCTGACACGAATGGAAGATAAATGGGCCAAAGGCCAGTATGTTTGGAACCACAGTCACTTCACTTGAATTGTGTATTTATATGTTAAATGGAAGGATGAGCTGGGCCCAAGGCCGTTTGAAGCATGTTGTTCTACATATTGTTTGCGTGTCTTCTTTATCTGATATTATTCACTGGGCTTTCGCTCACGCTCATTCATGTGTTTGTAGGTGAGCCAATAGAGGTCCAGACCCAGCCTCAGTGAAGTTAGTATGGAACAACTAAGGTTTTGAAGAGTCAGCCCTTGCATCACATGCACGAGACACATCTTCGCCCTTTTGCCATTCTATGTCATTTTGCCATGTTGGCGAGGATTTTGGTTTACGTCTGTATATAGTTTTGTTTGGCTGACTTTGAATGAATGATCCTGTTTGTATAGAATCTTATGTCACTATACTTCTGTTGTGAGTTATTAACATATGTATGTATGGAATGTTATGATGTGCATATAAGCACAGCTCTATGGACAAAGTTTTAAATTTGCTTCCGTTTGGCCCCCTTTACTCTGATGAGTTTCGTCTTATTTGATTTGAGGCCGTAGGTAATCTCATGATTACTGGCCGATTATGGCCTTAACCCAAGGGGGTGGGTTCAGGTCGTGACACTAGAGATCTGTGGCAGGAACCATTTATCCTTGCTTCTTCATGGAGGCCTTGTGCTGATCAACGTAACTGGGAACCTAGTAGTAACTCTCTCTCCCTCCCTCCTTGTGTGTGTGTACATGTTCCATGACTCAGCTGATTATTTTAAGTTGTGTGTCATACATTGTTAGAGGGAAATAATGGATACATTCTAGTTAGTGCAAATGGTGGGATAAACCAACAACGAGTAGCTGTAAGTTACTTCTATGATTGAAATTCCTACGTTTGTGGCTTATTCTCCCAAAGCTTTAATTCTATTGAGTAATGGGAATTGTGTGTTGTACATGATATCAACTAAATGCTCTTTTGAACAACAGGTCTGCAATGCGGTTGCGGTTGCTAGATTGCTTAATGCAACTCTTGTTGTTTCCCATTTATTGTACAGTAGTGTCTGGAGAGATCTGAGGTGATGTATTAGTTTCTATTTGGCATTCTGTCCTTACTTATATGGACCTGTCTGTATCTTAATGATGTATTGTAATGGTCCCCTGCCCTTTGAACAGTTAGGCCACTGATGGTCATAAGGGCTTTGCACTATAAATGTTTCAGTTTTCATTTGTGCTTCATTAATTACTCTGGGTTCCTATGATGTTCATTCAGTAAACACCTTCTCTTCACATGATCAAGGAAATTTATCGTTTTTCTTTTTTTAATAGGGTTATATGTTGTATAGTACCAAATTTCTGTTTTGCTTCTGAATTATTTTCATTATGCCCTGGAAATGCTTAATATTGTCCTGATTAATATAGTCATATTCCCGTGCCATGAGTATCGCCCAGTTTTTGTTTACTTGACTAATTTGTGTATGTTTCTTCTTGTGTCAGTCAGTTTTTTCTTTAATGTACTGTTTATTATATATTGATTGCTACGACCACTTTAACATGTGGGTAAGTTTGCTTCATTTCACCAGATCAAGGTGTAGAAATTATTTGGGACTGTATCTTTTTTGTTAGACTGGCTATGCATTCATTCACAGGTATTCAATATGCTGGAACAAGTCTGGCTTGCATGAAGTCATTCTTGGAACTACTGGAAGAAAGCAAGGCACCTCTGCAAAAGGGGCACTATACCCTCCTACCGAATCATCTTTATGCAAGTAAGCCAACAAGCATGCTACCAAGAATTTATTTGCTAAAGGCATAACACAATTTGTATAGTCATCATCACCGTTATCATCTCATCATCTTCTTATTCTTTGATGAAACTAATTTCTTATAATAATATCTCAAGAAGCGATTGTTGGAGCTGTTTTTGTCACTAAAGCATGAATTTGCAGCTGAGTGCCCAATGAATGAGATTTCTTATAGAGAAATGAAGGTAATCATTAACATCCTGGAAACAGTTATGCATATATTTTTTCAAGTTTAACAGTACTACCGTAGTTTACATGCTTGTGGGTGTTGTATGATGTCATGATAGAATCAAATATATTGGTGGTGTTATTAGTAATCAGAGGCTGCATAATTTTTATATATATACAACTGAGACACAACTATTTTTTTCTACGGGCTTCAAAGTTGTTGCACTTAGTTCCTCATAGGCAAGGTGATCCTAATCGCTTTGTAGGGTTTGCTGAAATGGCCCATTTAAATGAAAAAAAAAAAAAAATTAAAGCTAGTTTTCTGCATTTTTCATGACCTCGAGTCCATTACCTAGTGAACATGGCCTGAAAATGGCACTTTGTTGAAACTGTGGTAGTTTTTGTTCTTGAAGTATTTGAAATGAAAACCGAAAGTGAAATTGAGGATTTGAAATAATTACAACCAGGCCCATGAGGTTTGAGGTTATCTTAGCTTTTTTTGAGGATAATATTAGACAATATTGGTAATAGTGGAACCAAATTGTGTAGTGTTAATGAATTAGTTGGCTGATAATGCTTTATTATGCCATCACATTGCTGAATCAAGTGCTCTTTAGTGTTACATCTCTCAATTGTATGTTTTTATCACAGAGAGCTTCAAATTTTAACTTGAGACTGATATTTGGATCTCTGGACCTTTTTGTTGTGCAAGAATTCTGTTGATGTAGTCGAGGTTCTTGCTCAAATTACAAAAAAAAAAAAAAAAAAAAAAAAAAAAAAAAAAAAAAAAAAAAAAAAAAAACAAAAAAAAAAAAAAAAAAAAAAACAATTGGTAAATCAAATTGTCAAAAACATTTTGTTTTTTATTGTCATGTAATTGTTAATTCTATTGCAGGAAAGAGCCAAAGAATATTGTTCAACTTCAAAGATTTTTAAAGGAAGTCCGCCTTCTAACACTTGGCTTGTGAAACCCTTGAACTTTGAGGCCTTCTCATGAGGTGAGTTGTAGTGTGTAGAAGTTAACTGAATTTCTATCATTAGTGGCCACAGCCAAAGGTTTTACTGGATTGTAGTGCATCCCATGTTCCATGGTCCTGGGAAATTCAATGGATTGTGGTCTACGTGATATTTACTTTAGAGCTGTAATGCATATAGTTTTTTTTTTTTTTGCCTTCTTTTGACTTGATTAATTGGTAGCAAAACTTGTATTGAGCCCCATTGAGCTATGCTAATGCCTTCACCATATATGATTCATTTGGATGATTACCTAATTCTTCAACCTTATGCGCAGATGGAAGAGTTGAATTCTAAACAGACTGGGCCTTTTTTGACTTTGAATGATGAACGTGGGTTTGAGCCATTGGTATCAAAGTTGAAGGTACACAAGTTCATATCCTTGACGCAAATCATTTGTTTGAATTGAGAACTGGTTGGTGTTCCTGTAGTCACATGTTCCTGTAGTCACATGGTTCCCCCCCCCCCGGCATCATTCAAGTGGTCCTGAAATTTAGAAGCAAACCCAACGAGTAGAGCAAGCATCATTAGGTAGTTGTCAATATTCCCCTAGTTTGATGAACGTTAGTGTCGTGAGTTTGTTGTTGTACAATACTTTTTTAGGAACATATTTATATATCTTGGTCCATTGGTACCACTACAAGACTTTGATGATCTGACTTGTTCATCTTTAGGCTCTTCTATGGAAATTGTTCATAAAATGAATAAGATCATTTTAATAGAAACCTTGGTGAGACTAGGGGTCTAAATAGTACTGTCTAATCCACTAGAGAATTTTTAAAATGAAAAAAAAAGTCTTACAAAAAGTGGATGAAATGAAATAATGATAATAAAAAAAAAATTCAAAAAAATATAGTATTTCGGTGTACGAAATATAGTATAGTGGTCTCAAACGGGTTCGGATGTCAACGAAGCTTGACACGCACAACATACAAGGCACACATGACTTGTAGAAGAAGACGGGACTTGAAACCATGTAGCGCCGTCAAGATAAACCTATAAATCAAACAATATTGACATGCTTAGACACAAGAGAATAAAGCATAATTACATTTCATCAGAGTATCTCTTACAAATGTATTACATGTTAACAACAAAGGCAAATGCCTTACGGGCTTACAGCTTTCCAAGTCAACACTTGGTTACAAAAAGAGAGTACTAACTCTATACAAAATAAGCCTTTGGCTTGATATACATGTAATACAAAATACAATCACAAAAGATGTCCCCAGCCACTAAGCCTCTCAAGCTACGTCCTTGGAGGTGGCATGCTACCTGTACCTGAAAATGATGTCCCATATAGGGTGAGCCAACGCCCAGTAGAGATATGCTAAACATAGTATGAGCAATAACTAAAATATCAGCATTTGATAAATGTTTAATTCACATAAATCAATCCATAATCCATTTCAAATACATGACCATAGTGTTCATGTTTTATTCCATTTCTTACCCGATTTCTCAATTCACAACTTTGGCTCAGAACCTGGCCATACACTTTTAATGAGATTACATCCCATATCAGCAACATTTCTATTTCAATTGAGATAACAACTCAAATTAAACATCTCATAATTCATATTAGATATACATTTTAGTGTTGTATCAATCTCAGACAAACACTTCCATACTTCACAAATGATACACATTTTAGTGTTGTATCAACGTCAAACAAAATCACTTCCATATATCACAAATGATACACATTTTAGTGCTGTATCAATGTCAAACAGAATCCGGTTTAGAGGTCCATCCCCCATCTTTCCCTAAACCGTGGAGTATATCCCCCATCTCCTCCCACATAACACAATGTATATAAATAATAATCATATACATGTTCAATCAATCAATACGCAATTTAGATGTATTATAACAACCACCATATTCGATGGCATACTCAATTGATTAGTTTTAGTTTGCCTAATCATTATGCATTGTCTACAACAATCAAGACTACCCTCCACCGGTAGCCCAAAGCAAGTATTTCTAAACAGATAATAAATGCATTAACTGATAAATAATCAACTTTTTTCAAAAGTGAGTGATTATAAAATCCAACTCCACCGTTCCATCTCATATTGAGCCAATTCCATTATATTCAACTCAATTTCACAAATCCATAACTTTCCCAAATTAATTATACCAATTAATTTGTATACAAATTAGGGCTTTGTCCCCCATTTCTCGATATTAACCCAAAGGTTCAAATATCAACAACCAACAACAGTACCATCATTTTGTGACCCAAAATACATATTTAAGAGTCAAAACAATAAAACCCCCTTTACACATTTTGAAACCCTAAGTCCCAAAATTTCCCAACTTCAACACTTTATCAAAATGACCAATAATTTAAGTCAAAGACCATAAGAGTGAGTAGTTATCAGTACCTCAAACTCGGAGCTCAAAGGAAGGAGATGAAGAAATTCGAAGTGCACCAAAATCCAATATTTTTCGGATCAAAATGTAGCCCTCAACGATCCCCACACTTTTTGTAAAGGCCAAAGGGTAGGAGAACACTCTAACTAGATCAATCCCTAGAGAGATGGTGAGTTTCTAGTGAGAGAGGCTCTCCAATGGAGTTTTAGAAAAGTAAGAGAGAGAGTGAGGATGTAAAAAGTGATTCAAAATAGCCTAGCTGCCTACTATTATACGACTCTCTCGTTCGAGCAGAGAATAGGATGCTCGAGCGTCAAGCACAAAAACTAGACCCGCTCGAGCGCAAGAAGACCCGCTCGAGCGCCAAGACACAAAAATAAAATACACCCGCTCGAGCACGAAAACCAGTCCGCTTGAGCGTAGATTCTCTCTTCCCAGTATTTTCCCAGACAGTGAACACCTGCTCGAGCGCCAAGAGGCCCGCTCGAGCGCGACCAGCTCAAGCGTAAGAACACCCGCTCGAGCACGACCCGCTCGAGCGTAAGAACATCCGCTCGAGCGTGAAAAACAAGCCTACAGTACTTTTGCAGAGGCACAAAATGCTGGAAGTATGAAATCTCCGCTCGAGCGCACAATGACCCGCTCGAGCGGACCACTCAAAAACTGGGCAACAAGAATTTGAACTAAGGCTTAACCCACCTGTTCAAAACACGCCCAACACATCCCAAAACTCAAACATATGGAATTCAAGGATAACAACAAGACACACCACCACTAACTCCACGGAACCAAGGTCCGAAATACAATAATTAAAGGAAGGGAAAACCGTGATCGCTATAACCTTCCCCCCTTAAAGAATTTCGTCCCCGAAATTAAGTACAAGTTTTTCAAAAACATGTTTTCTCAATTACCAACATTATTACAATGCAAAAATTCAATAACTTGACCCATTACCGGTCATTCCATCTCTATTCAAGAGGCAAACCCCACATAATTTCCAACATTCATTATCAACATGCATCTCAAAACATTTCCAATGATATCAATACATTTGCATTTCTAAAACATCATTAACATATATAATGTTAAAATTCACTTCCATTATAAGGCAAGTTCCAAAATATACTTCCATAAACCAAAACATACACAATGTTTTACAACTTAAGACATATATAATGCTCTTAAAGTTCATCAATATTACAAAATCTCAATACATGGTTACACATCAACGAACATGTCCGGATATTTCTCACGGACTTCCAACTCACGTTCCCAAGTGGCTTCCTCCACTCCGTGATGCTTCCACAAAACTTTCACCAAAGGAATTGTCTTGCCTCGCAAGACTTGATCCCGCCTATCCAAGACCCGAACCGGTCTCTCCTCATACGAGGCATCCTTATCAACCTCTAAGTCGGTCCAATCCAATACATGTGACGGATCCAGCTCATACATCCGAAGCATACTAACATGAAACACGTCATGCACCCCGGACAACTGCGGCGGCAAAGCGAAACGATAAGCAACCTCCCCAATCCCCTCAAGGATCTCAAAGGGACCGATAAACTGAGGGGATAACTTCCCACTCTTCCCAAACCTCATCAAACCCCGCCTAGGTGATATTTTCAGAAAAACATGATCACCCGTCTCAAATGCCAAAGGCCTTCTCCTACGGTCGGCATAACTCTTTTGGCGACTTTGGGCTGTAACAAGCCTCCTACGGATAAGCTCAACTTTCTCCATCGTCTCTCTAACCAACTCCGGGCCCAACAAAGGTGCATCATCCACCTCGGCCCAACAAACTGGAGACCTACAATGTCGGCCATACAAGGCCTTAAACGGTGCCATACCAATACTAGACTGAAAACTGTTGTTGTAGGCAAACTCCACCAAGGGCAAGTGCCTCTCCCACGACCCACTAAAGTCAAGAACACAACCTCGAAGCATATCCTCAAGGATCTGAATAGTACGCTCGGACTGCCTGTCAGTCTGAGGATGATAAGCTGTGTTAAAGGTCAACTTATTGCCCAAAGCACTCTGCAAGCTCTGCCACAACCTAGCAGTAAAACGAAGGTCTCTATCTGAGACGATCATCACTGGGACCCCGTGCAACCTCACTATGTCCTGAATATACAAGTCGGCAAGATGATCTACCGAATCTCTCATGCGCATAGGGATAAAGTGCACCGACTTAATCAACCGGTCTACAACCACCCAAATAGCATCACTACCCCGCTGAGTCCTCGGAAGACCTACAACGAAGTCCATAGTGACATGCTCCCACTTCCACTCGGCAATCGGCAAGGGCTGTAACAAACCCGCTGGCCTCTGATGTTCGGCCTTCACTTGCTGACAAGTAAGGCACTTAGACACAAAAATTGCCACATCCTTCTTCATACCCTGCCACCAAAACTGGCGACCCAAATCTCGATACATCTTGGTGCCTCCCGGATGCACCGCAAGGCGTGAATGGTGAAACTCTCGGAGTACCTCCTCTCGGCAAGACTCCGGCACAAACAAACGGTCTCGGTATCTCACACTCAGGTCGGGATACAGCGTCAAACCCTTCTCAACCTTCCCATTGGAGATCTTCTCTCAGAGGGATTCTACCTCAAAGTCACCTCTCTATGCCTCTAACACTCGAGTCACAAGCGTAGGCTACGCAACAACGAAAAATAAGGCCGCAGCCTCAATAGATTCACCCAGAAGCAAATCAAACTCGCCAAGTGCACCCAACATCTCCCACTCCCGGATGGCTATACAAGCTATATCACTAATGGATTTCCTGCTAAGTGCATCGGCCACCACATTGGCCTTTCCCAGGTGATAGTGCAACTCAAAATCGTAGTCTTCAATAAACTACATCCACCTTCTCTACCTCAAATTCAAGTCTCTTTGTGTAAACAGACACTTCAAACTTTTATGATCCGAGAACACCTCGAATCTCTCACCATAAAGGTAGTGCCTCCAGATTTTCCAGGTAAAGATCACGGTTGCTAACTCAAGGTCATGTGTAGGGTAATTCCTCTCGTGTATTTTCAACTG